TGCGAGGTCTGGTTGATTTTTAGCGATTTTTTTAAAAAATCCCCACTCGTTGGGGATTGGTGTCTTCCCCATGGGGAATTTCGGGAATCGGACCGTTGATTCGTCAATAGGAAATCAAGCTCTATTATGAGCCAAAATTTCAGCTTCCTGGCAGGCCTGGAACATAGGAAATGCTACCAAAAGCCTACATTTTGTGAGAGGTACGGAAGTTGGATGGCAGTCCTCGTCCTTGTCCAGATAGGATTTCTGTACTAGGGGCGGGGGTTCGTTTTAGTGATTTCTTCGAAATTTTTTTTCGAGTCCCCACGCGTGTAACCAGGAGGATGTTGTGAACAATGTATTTGAGTGTTGTAAAGTTTGCACCCCAAATGTTGGCGGACAAAGCTGCAGTGAAATGACTAGTAACTGAATTTACGAAGAAAGAAAAAGTCAATCTTTGAGAAGTTTGGATGGTTGTTAGACTGCTGACTATTTGAGGAAAAAAAAAACAATAAAATAAATAACGAATATCGATGTCCCTACAAATGTAGTACTTTTTGAACTTCCTTTATACTACATAGATAGGAAAAATGTTGACGTTTATGTGTTATATTGCGTTATATTTATATATATATATATTTATACTTATATATTTTGCGTTTATGCGTTATGTGTTATATTTAGTTTTGTAATATTTCAATTAGTTTTGCTACTAAAACAGTTTTACGCAGTGTCAGAGGACTGTCCCGAGTTACCCTGCTTGTCCCGAGTAGCCCCAGTTGATGGTACTGTCAAACAGGATAATAAGGGATGGTTTTGAGCGTTTTTTGTTAATAACTTCTTACCATGGAACATTTCCGAAACTAATTTGGGCTCATTTTGAAGCTGCTAGGGCTATTGAATGGCATCTCCAAAAAATTCCATTCCTATGCTATATGTGAGGCGCCAGACGCAAAATAAAAGCTTCCCAAGTTACCCCTGGAAATGGGGTAATCCTTAATACTTGCAATAAAACTTAATTTTAAAATGTTTGAAGCATGCAGAGTGTACTCATTAGTTACTAACAGTACTCTGAAGTCTTCCTCTTTCAATGTAGATGTAGAATAAATGACATTTTATGTGATTTTTTACTTGTTTTTCCTTTATTGATATATTTCTATATTACTATATTCATTAATTACCATGTTATTGATATGATATTACCATATCCATGAACATGCCATTGAGCATTTACTATGACCTTTTTCACTGCAAGCTTAATATCAGCAGCCATATAGCATTTCTTTTGTATCTGTAAGCTTACAGGATGGCTTGTTATTTCACACATTTTAATTGAGTTAAGTGAAATTCACTATAAAAAATCATAAAAAACATACCCAAAACAGACGGGAACGTGTTAGTGACAACCATCATATATTTTGGAGAAATAAATTATAGTTTAGGTCAATTACTTTTCATTCTATGATGCCCAGTACACAATTCTATATATGACATTCTATGCAAAATTTTGTGATGACCAATGATGTACTAATTTTTTGATACAGGAATTTTTTTTTTTTTTGCTGAGCAAGGTAAATGTAATCAAAATTCTTCGTTGTTAATCAATTTTATTTTGTTAACTGGAGCCTTTGCTAACTGAGGTTCTACCGTAAATGCGTTTTTAAGTGTTTCCCTTATTACCTCGGCTGGGTGTCCCTTATTACCTTGTCGCGCAGAAATGGCTGCCATTTTTGGGGGGAATGAGATAGGCAAATTCCATCAATCGTGTTTTCAAGCTGACACCTGTGTGACACCAACTTTTATATAAGTAAAATTTTTTAATACAGCAAATATTTTTTTGCTCTGGACCTTAGTAGAGGTAGTCTTCCAAATCTCACTTTTCACACTTTTTTTCAGTGATTTTTTAGAGATAGTTAATGTATGATTTCTTAACTAGCTTTATACATAATAAATACGGTAGTAAAAATGTTGAAGTTTATGCCACTATTTTTAGTTTTGCAATATTTTGATTAGTTTAGCTGTTACAACATTTCTATGAAATGAAGGACGCGCATCCTGATTTACCCCGCCCGTCCCTAATTACCCAGTTTGACGGTATCAATCAAATGTTCACAAATGTATCGATCAATTAATATCTGCTGTGTCAAGTGGACTGCCAGCATCAAAGCAGTACATTATTCTACACGCAGTAAAGACAGTACCTACTAAATGTACCATAACTTTCTAATTGCTAAAGCATAATTCCATCACTGTTCTGGCAATTAGTACATCTGTCAGGGATTAAAAATTTCCATTGGGATATAGCAGGAATCTCGCAGTTCCAAAAATGGTTGGAAAGCTCTAGTTGTAATTTGAAAGGTGGATGTTTTCCAAACTAGGACACAAATGTGTCATGGGCTATCATAACTGAAAAATTAGGCAAAAACTACCCATGAATCAGAAAAAAATGCATGTGAATTGGCCAATTTTGCCCATTCTTATAGTATAGGCTTAGGCTATAGCTCTTGCCCAATTTCTTTGTTGAAAAAAAGAAAAGCACCTAATTTTGTCTGCAATTTTTAGAAATTACTTGTGAAACAATTGTTTTTATCCAGCATTTTAGGAAAATTCTGCCCAATATTCCAAATTGGTGGGCTATTATAAACCAATAATGACAATATATATAGATTGGCCATTGTGTTGCAAAGTTTATGTTTTACGCCTGAACTGTCATGAGAATTTTTGAGCACTCATCCCTGCTGTTTGAGTTTGCCAAAACTATCATAACCTTCCAGATTACTTTTCAGAAATACATGCAGAGTTATGTCAAGAGATATCTTTTGGCTAGATTTTCTAGATATATGCAGATTTTGATGCAAATGTTATGTCAAATGTCAAAGATCTTCAGATATATGCACACTATAGGCTATGCCCTAGGCTAAGAAGAAGATAAAAAAAATTCCAACTTATAGTTATTACTGAAATATCATGCTTCCCAATCTGTATTATTAGGCAGAATTTACCAATAATTTTAGTGACAACTAGTTTTGTGGTAAACTTTTATAAAATTACAAGTAAAATATATCTCCTACAAAATTGTGCAGGAGATTATTCATCTAGAAATCTAGCATCAATCTGAAATATTGGAAAGAACTTGAACAAAATCATAGAAAAAAATTATTTGATACTATCTGGGTTGATTTATGAAGAATGCGGGCAAAATGTATTATTTTTCTCAACATTATCTGACGAAAATAAACAAGGGGAAGAAGACAGGTAAAATTGCCCACAAGCATGGACATTTTTGTCTTTTGCAGTTAGGTTACTAAAAATAGTGGATTAATCAAGAGCATATAAATTATTCTCTTGAATTTCATTTCTGTGACTGGCCTACCAGGTTACAATTCCATAGTCATGGATGGGTATATATACATTGATAATGAGTATTTATATAATACTTTTTTTCTACAGGTGATTTTAAGATGACTATCAACAAAGTCAATTGTATTAGGGTTTTAGAAGTTTCCATAATATTAGCTTGTGATTTTGAAGAAAAATCATACCAAGCACTTGTATGTGCACCAATATTGAAATTCTGAGTCAAGTTCTCTGCAATTGGAAATGATGGGATCACAAAGTGTTGAGATCCTAAGACAGGGGGTGTGGGCATCTCTGACTGGCGGATGGTTTTTTGACCCTGGCAAGTCTATGTTCTGCAACACTTTCCACCTCTACATGTGGCTATATCTTGCTTGTGCACCATTTTCTATTTCTCTGGTGAGTATATTTATATGTATACAGAGAGAGGGGTTGAAATCTAGATTTAATTCTCATATTTTTAAGTTTTGAGACATTAATCTTGATACATATGAGAATAGTAGATTTTAGGAATAAACTAGGCTTTTAAAAATGTGTGAGTATCAATATGATTCAATAAGAAATGAAAGTGAAACAAAGGATTGCTTGTTTTATGTTGATTCTTTATTGAATTTGCAGAGCGGTGTTGGATGGTGGTTGGGTTGGGTTATGCACCTAACCCTGCTGTTCATAGTGAGTGCACTCATCAAGGCCATGAACTATGTCTTGCACCATCTTTTTGACACTGCCCAGTGTCATGTTGAAGAAGATTCATCAAACTCCTCACAAGGGAATACCATTGACGGGCCTTTTGCTCCTCACTCAAGCTTTTCTTCTTCACGAAGGTTGTCATCGGTTGGTCAGCGCCCATCTAGAGGCCTACGAGATGACATTTTCAGCCGGTTCAGGTTCATGACAATTTTAGAGTAATTCAAGTAATGTAATAGCCTGTAACTATCGAAAATGGCTTTAATTAAATTCTTTTTTGAGTATGCAATCATCAATGTTTCTGTCTCTTTCTATTTGCATTCAGGCCCAGTCATCAGTTTCTTTTGTTTTCCATTTTATTTATTTATTATTTTTGTTGATGTTGGTTTTTCAAACCAAAATTAATATGTAGTTATTGTGATTCTACCTTTGACTCCTCATTAAAAATGTGATGTATGAAGCCAAGAAATAATGAGGTGCCAGTTTTCTAATAATTTGTTGTTGTGAAGGTCTGTGGAAGCTGTCGAGATGCCTGTGATGTCAGGCACTGCAGCCTCTGGCAATATCCCACACTCAACATATGATGAGTCATCAGCTATGTGCGTCATCCACAACTCAGACTACGTAGCGCCCCTCCCAGCATCCAGCAGCCACTCACTGCCTTTCATCTCAACCAGCAACCACAATATTGTCTTCACAAATACAATTGCCAATTCTTTATGCTCGAGTACGACAGGCGTGATGAGCACTCGGCAGCGCACTTCAAGGCCTTCAGCTGCTGCAAGTTCAGCTGTCAGTGTCCTTCGTCCTGGAATGATTATCAGTTAGTTATTGTTCATTATCAAAAAGTCTGCAAAGGCTGTGCCCATATTATAGGGTGAATGTCACTTTTATCCATATAATTTGTCTGAGCACTTTGCACACAATAATTTCTCCTTTCACAATGGGTAAATTCCATTTCTCACTACCTAAATTAACTTTTTTTTTTATTCGTGTTCAATCATAGTCACTAATTTTGTTGAAAAATATTTGATTATCAATTGATATCAGAGTCAAGTTTTTTCCTGTTTTGAATTTGTTGTGTTCTCACACAGACGACATGGGCCATGAGAACAGCATCGTGTCTGCCAGAGGAGCGAGAAGAGGACAATCTGCCGAGGTTTGTTGCATATTTGATGCCTCTTTTCTTGAACATTTTTTATTTTCTTGAACATGAACATTTCACAGTTGATCATTTTTTCATTCTATATGACGCTAATCTTCTTTGGGAGTATGTAGTTATTACTGATTTCTGATTGTCAAATTGATACTATTAATTTATTGTTAAAATTATTATATTAAAATTATGATAATTATCATAATTCTGATTAAATTATATTAAATTATTAATTATTTTTGCCAGTATTCATGAGAATACAAAATTATTCTTTACTGTTACAAGGTGTTTAGTAATGGCCCACTAGTTTTATTGATGGGCAATACTCGTGCGTGGCTCGTATCCACGTTATTAATCATTAGCCTAAGTTAACTCACTTATTCTGTTCTTAGGTTTATCTATTTCTACTTAGCACTTAGTTTGAATGTTTTCTAAGTAAAGTAACAAAACTTTTTATATTACATTCTTGACTGCAGGACCTGAGGGAGTTTGAACGAATGCTGGGCATCAGGGAAGACCGCCCCATCACGCCTCCTCAGTAAATACTTTCTAATTCCATGCATTGTGTTAATTTTATTTAAAATAATTCTAAAATATGTCATGGCAAGTATACTATATTGTGTCTAAGAATCTATCTGAAAGAATCACGCTTAGTTTTCTACAATTATAAGATGTTTTGGATGTTTGTTGTGGTTCTTCTATATATCATGCACTTCTATTGGGTTCTGTGAGTTTTCTCACTTTTGTGCAGATATTCATTTTAATGCTATATAAAAGTAAATTTTAACATATTTGTAACCATAACGTTTCAACAAAATTTTTAGCAAATAATTGCATTTGAATGAATTTTCTAATATTGTTGCCCCAAATTTAATCAAGACAATATTGTAAAACATCACATGTTTGTAAATAACGGCCGCTTATCCGCTATTTAATTAGGGTCACAAAATTTTATACTACTGTTGGGTGTGTTTAAACGAATTTGATTCCCAACATTTATTCACCCATAGGTACTAATTTGTGTTAAATTATATTAATGATTACTACTTTCCCTAAAGCAGTGAGAGCCACTGCAAGTACTGCTACAGCGAAGTACGTCTTGTGGAGGCCGTCAACGAGCATTGCAACCCCGAACTCTGGATGCAAGAAGTCAAACGCTGCCCTAAACTATGTGTTCTAACCCTGGGCGCTGCTGGTGACACTGCCGCAGCTGAGCACACATCCCCCAGCATCCTCAATATCTTGGAGGACTCGGCACTCCCGTGGGTTAAAGAAAATGCTGACAGTGAAACTTCCACTCCATCTGCAGGGTCATCAGAATCGTGTGATACCGGCCAGAATAAACAAGAAGACAGTCCTTGTAACAATGACAACTCAGGTGACGGTAGTAGTTCAGTCAAACGAAAAGTAAAGCCTTCAAGTCACGGCGGTGGGCGGCTCTCCATCAGTCAAGATCCTCTTGATGTTCGTGAAAAAACTCCTGCCATCGCCTCTGCAAGGCTAGGGATAGATGAGCATAAGGTTAGCTCTGCATTTTCTGACGATGAAACTGGCGAGCGCTGGTTGGAAAGGTTACGTGATTTAGCTTCTAGGGCCTCGGAAGCATCCCAGTTATCTGACATGCAGACAATTCTTCCAGCAAAGTATCATGCGCGTTGCCCTCGTGAGAGACCTCACGTGTCCATTCCTCCTCGACCAGAAAGTCTTCCTGCCTCGATGGAATTTCCTGCTTTGTATCCTAGTGGAACTGGTGCTATTCCTAAGAAAAGAGATAAAGATCTAGAAACTAGTAAATCTGAGAAAGCTAAACTTGATGAAGACAAACGACGTAACAATATCTGTGATATACCACCATGTGAAGCTAGTGATTCGTTGTTAGACTACTTCAGTAGAAACACTACTCTTGGTCACTCAGATATTAAGAACCTATTAGTGCTCGTTTGTTTAGAGAAACAATTAACAAACACAAGTAGTTCATTTTCATCTCTTAACGACGGTCCTTCAGAAATGTTGCGGACTCTAACCCCGGAAATTTTACAAACGCTCTCTGCCTATCGTAAGTTCTGTGGCCTGCAGCCAGCGTCGTCATCTCCCGAAATCTTATCAAATAAAGACAGCAGCGGCAAACTGCACCGCAAACCTGCCATCCGGCGAAGGAAATACGATGGAAGCCCGTCTGCTGGGTCCATAGACAAGCAAGATCAGTGCTCCGCATCTCCTGGCGACTCTGAGAAGTCTCAAGTAACTCTCAGGGACCAGGAGGTAAGCTTTTTATTTATGATTAGAACTAACATGTGGCGTGACAGTATAGGCATTATTCTAGGACCTGTTAAACATAAACATTATTCTAGGACCTGTTTTCTGCGCTCTGTTTAATTTATTTTTTGCATAGCCATTGTTCTGAGATTTATTTTTCAGCAGGCCAATATTTAATTATGGTTTATCATTTGTGAAATAGGTCTTGCAAGAAGATTTAATTATTTATTTTAAATAAAACCTGACATAAAATTACTTGTTGGATAAAAACATGCATACAATACTGGTAAAGATTGATTGTGGTGTTGAACCAGTTGAGTATGAATATATACCTATAGTCTTATTACAATGCATTTATATTTTTCTTCTACGTAGGTATATCCTTGGCAACTTAGTTAGATGCCTAATTTGAAATATTTTTAATGTTAAGAAATCAATTGTGTTGATTTGAGGCCTTTTTTCTTACTTTGTAAACGTTTGTTCATCATGTGATGACAGTAATTATCGCATTTACAATAAATATTTTTTGCAATATATTCTCCGGACAATTTTCAATGTTAATTTGCAGGGCAACCTCGGAGCGTCAATGCCCTATGGCCTCGACGACAGCAGCGGCCTGTCGGAGTCGCCTGGTGATACAGAAAATACTTCAGTTTTTCGTGCAGCTTATGACGATGGCGAGCTCGAAGAGCCCCTGGCTGTGAGCGGCTGTTCAACGCCGACCGACGAAACCATCAAGAGCCATGAAACTGAGAGCCCCTTTGGGGCTTGTCATGAAGCTTCACTTGAGAGCTCGTCCTCTTCTTCTGGCTCTGGGCTGACTTTGGTGTTAGACCCTAAACCTGATGTGGGTTCTTCAGGAAAGGACGGTTCTAGGACAGTGGTTGACCGCAGTTTGGTTCGAGCTAGAGGAAGAAAAACTCGTGCTGCTATTCCAGTTATTGGTGATAGTTCTACTGACGGTCCCGACAGCTTGAGTAATTCTGATGGCCCAATCAGCAACTGTACCGACACGAGCAAAAAATCTGAAGATGATAGTTTGGCAGCCAGTAGATTTGCAGTGCAGAACAATCACCCGCTCTTCCGGGGTGATTTGGAAGACACGAATTTGTTTTCTCGACCTCGTGCCCAGAGAATTTGTCTCTCGACCCCCCGTGGTCGTAGTGTTGAGCTGCCTCTCATGCCCTTATCTTCCCCTTATCGCTTGAACGTGACAAGCCTCAGCAACGCCTTACAAATAGCAGCTGTTAATTCCTCCAGTGGCACGCAGCCTGTCGAGGATGTAGCCATTGTCAGCAGTACGGTTGCTCCTGTTAGGTCTTCTTCTAATTCACATTTGGCTTGTAACTCAATCTGCTATATTGATGAGCCTACTGAAGATGCCTCTTGCCCTGCCCCTTACGTCCCATATTCTATGATCAACAAACCAACAAATTACAAACATTATCACAACCTCCGCATAGGTCCTAAAAAATATATCAAGGTTGCTCTTGACAGGTTAACCCTCCTGGCGCTTCTCGACAAGAACCTTTCGATAATCGAAACGATCTTCACCGTATTGCTCATTCTGGCTGTAGGTATCTTAGGCTGTTGCATTCTTCACTTGTGTATTTATAAGGAACTAGAGGTACTTATTTTTTGTATTGTGATGGCCAGCTGTCAGTATTCCTTATTCAAGAGCGTGCAACCTGATGCCGCGTCTCCAGTCCATGGCTACAATCACATCATACGTTTCAGTCGCCCCATCTACTTCATTATCTGCAGCAGCTGCGTATTGGCTCTACACGCGCTCACTTCCGATCCCGAATATTCGTTGCCAAGTTTTGAGCTCTATGGAGCAAACGTATTCAGCCCCTTTGTAGTGGATAAGTGTTTACAGATATTCATGTTGTTTCTGCTATGCTTTCCGCTGTTATTCAGTCTAGGGTTGTTGCCCCAAATCAATACATTTTCCATGTACTTCTTAGAGCAGCTTGATATTCACATGTTCGGCGGTAGTGCCACGACTAGCCTCGCCGGTGCCATTTACTGCATTTCTCGAAGCCTCCTTGCCGTAGCAATCCTCGTAGGCTTTGCATATGGCGGCCTACAGTCCAGCAGCGCCGCGGCATATCCTGAAAACCCAACAGATGTCACAAACCGGCAACAGGACAGCGGTCAGCTAGTGCTATACTCTCTGTTTTGTGCGCTGCTGCTCGCTATCAGCTATCATCTGAGCAGGAGCAGTTCTGATTATGCCACTCTTTGGCAGCTCGTCAAGGAACATTTCATAGCTGATGCCACGCCGGCAGTTCCTAAACCCCATCCTTCCCCAACCGTCAAGGAAGAACCTCCTCCTCCCCCTCCTCCTGCCTCCACCGACGCAATAAATGACAACGATGAATCAGAAGTTAACAATGTTCAACAGGCGATCACGTCGCAAATTTCCGAAGAAGATCCGGACTCAGTGTTGTCCAAACTTGCTGTTGCCAAAACACCAATTGAGGAAAATGATCCGCTTCCCTCCAAGATGCGGATCACTGTTCTGTCCCGCCTCACGCACGACGCCTTGGCATGTTCTTTACTTGCAGCTGTTGTTTTCACTCTACTGGTGACCTCAACGCTGCAGCAGCTGCTGGCTCATGTGCATCCTCTTGTTCTGTGGGTGCCTGCTGTGGTGCTGGGCTTCTTCCTGCACTACATCATCCCTCATCTACGCAAGCAACAACCCTGGTTATGCATCGCTAAGCCAGTGTGCATGCAACACGAGTACGGGAGCTATGAGGTCTACGACCCTGCCAGACTCATGTGGTTCGAGAAAATCTATGTTTGGTTGTGCGCTCTCGAGAAAAACTTGATTTATCCTGCCATTCTGATCTGCGCTGTCACTTTGGATGGACCTTTCATAGCAAGCAAGCATCCTACAATCGGTGCACTCATGGTTGTTGTGTGCGGGCTCAAAGGTCTTCGTTCTACTTACTCATATCCACCGTCGCATTTCCTCATTCTTGCCTTCACCAAACTCCTCTTCGATTACGACCTGCGCGGTTGTTCCGAAGGATTTCTGGTAGACTTCTTCTTCATGGCCATCATTTTTCGCAAAGGTTACGACTTTCTCCTGAAGTTCAAATTCATTGTCACTTACATCGCTCCGTGGCAAATCACTTGGGGCTCCGCGTTCCATGCTTTTGCTCAGCCGTTCAGCGTGCCTCACTCTGCAATGCTGTTCCTTCAGGCGGCAGTTTCCGCGGTATTTTCAACGCCATTAAATCCTATCCTTGGTTCTGCTATCTTCATTACAAGTTACGTGCGACCAGTCAAGTTCTGGGAGCGAGACTATAACACCAAGCGTATGGACCAGAGCAACACAAGGCTCTCTACTTCATTGATGAGCCACAACCCAGGAGCTGACGATAACAACCTTAACTCCATCTTCTATGAGCACCTCACTCGGTCCCTGCAGCACTCCCTTTGTGGAGACCTCGCGCTCGGTGAGCTAATTTTGTGTTCTTGACTCAAACATCTAACGTATAACTGTACACGAATGTCGCCTTTTAAAGTGGCGTTTTTGTTTTGTAAGCAGCTCAATCGTCAAATTAGACAAATCTATGGCCTTTAATTTCAGGCTGCGCTTTGACCATGTGAACATATATGTAGCCTGCCTGTCAAAAAATTGTCAGTGTATAAATTTTATCTATGTGCTATGAATGAGTTATAGCATTGTACACTCGCAAGAAAGTTGGTTGCTAAAGGGTTACGTTCGTGTCTTGTTACTGATGGAAGGTAGAATTCTATGATCCCATTTTCGGAAGAAAATGACTTTGAACCTGCGGGGATTTATGCGTTAAATTTGTGTCTTGGGACCATGGGTACTTGGCTTGTGAATATCCGTGTCTGACAGCTTTCAATGAAATTGAATTGATACTGTAGGGCGGTGGGGGCCTGCTGGTGAAGGAGACTGTTTTGTGCTGGCCTCGGACAACCTCAACTGCCTGGTTCACATCGTCGAGATGGCGAACGGTCTCGTCACCTTTCAGGTTAGTCAACTCTCATTACTGAAATTCGCCTCCCGTTTATTCTGAAGGCATAATATTCCTTGTATATTATGTTCAAAAAATCATGTTCGCAAGCGAATATCTTGGGGCGAATATGCCACACATCCAAAATTTTCATTGATTTCGAATGAGTTATTGCGTCGATGACAAATAACATATTAGATGCGGTAAAACTGTGCTACCTACTCGAAGTTAGGTTAGTTGTGTAACAATTTTTGAACGTTACGTTGAAGTTTTCGTCAATTTGAAATTTTGAATGCTATTTTGAATGCAGGTTCGGGGTTTGGAGTTTCGAGGAACCTACTGCCAACAGCGGGAGGTGGAGGCCATCTCAGAGGGCGTTGATAACGATGCAGGTGAGTCTGGTGCAGCCATTCTCTCTACATTAGCCGTCAGAGTATCGAAAACTTATTGGGCGTATCCAGGCGTCGGACTCAGTAAACTTGCCCAAGACATGTAGCAGCATAAGTACCTATGCGTATTGCGTAGCGGCCTTTGTTCAAGTAGCGACCAAAATAAACATAGCGGCCTAAGCACACATAGTGACATGAATATATACAACATGTCTCGGTCTAGGTACTTGTAGCGCCAGATTTCTTGCATGTAATTAATGGGCTTAGCGTTGAAAGCCGCCAGTTATTGGCCGACTAAGTTAATTACGCTTAAACTATTTTCAATATTACAGCTTGAAGCCTTCGGGCAAGAAGTGGAATATGATACGTTATAGAAAAGGTTGACATCAAATTTATTGAGATTTTTAATTTATTTCAAAGTCACTTGTATATGATAATTTGTGTTTACGCGAATTTTTCTCCTCATCCTGTGCTTGTTACTTTACGTATTATCTGCATTGTCCAAAGACCAGAGTTTAAACTTGATTTGATTCTAATGGCAGCATTTAGTGACTGCGTTGTTTCTACTTGCGCATTAAATGCAAGTTTCTGTGGGGCAAAATTAATCTGTATTATGTAATGGCAGGTTGTTGCTGTTGCGAGCTTGGTCGTTTGCCTAACCTGCTGAGTGGCAACGCTGCATTCAACCAACGCTGGCTTGCGTGGGAGGTCACTGCTACTAAGTACGTCTTGGAAGGCTACAGCATCTCAGATACGTCTGCTGCTTCCATGTTCCAGATGTTCGATCTGCGCAAAATACTCATTACATACTACATCAAGGTATGGTTTCGGCATTTTTTGGCGACGTCGTAAAAAAAATTAGGTTTTAGCTTTAATATTCTGCTTTTTGAACTTTCCTTCATGGTAGCATGTCCTTTTAGTGTAGCAATTTGGCTTATTGTCATTATCATATTACGTCTACTATGCGTTCAGCTTAGGATTTTTTTTAATAACTACTGAAATTTTTAATACTTTAAACATTGTGTTTTCCAAATTCATGAAAAAATTGTTATTATTCAAATTTAAGTAGAACATTAGCACAATTTTTTTGTGCAGTCGATCATCTTCCACGTGAGTCGCCACGTGCGATTATATAACTGGCTGAGCGACAGCACCATCGTGGCTCGCCTGGCTGCTCTTAACGAGCCTACCTGGGCCGACCTCGCACCGACATTTCACCCAAAAATCGACGCTGATTACGACCATAAAGAAAATGGCATCACGCGAGCCAGTTTCTGCAACGCGTTCAAACCATGGATCGATTTCTGCATGGCGGAGCGAGAAGCCGTGGAAGAGGCGGCCCTCAGAGAGCAGATGGAAGTGCCTCCTCCAAGCCCTGACACGATGGCGAGGAACCGTGAGGAGCTCGAGAAGAGAACCAGGGAATACTTCAATCAGAAACAGTCCAAAGATTTCCAACGCGGGAAAGGAAGCGCTAGTCGAAGAAAGCGCGTGAATACACAGCCCACTTCAGAAGAGTCCAAAGAATACTTCATTCAAGGGCGAGCGAAAAAGAAAAACCCCGAAATGAAGAAAAATTCTCTGTTGAGGCCGCCGTCCGTGTTCGACGACGTAGTGTCTGAAGATGCAGACAGAGGAGCAGGCGCTTCGCCCCCCGTCAGGAGGGTGTTGCCTGACGGGGTCGTCATCTATGACACGTCACGTGACTCTGTGCTTGTGTCGCTCTGTCTCGCCCTCAGTGTCTTGGGTGAGTTCAAACACTCGAGTCCCATCAGTGTCTTGGGTGAGTTCAAACACTCGAGTCCCATCAGTGTCTTGGGTGAGTTCAAAGAGAGGATAACACATCCACTGAATAACATGCTTTTGAGTTTCAGCTAAATGGCTATATTACAGTCATCTTGTCTACCACTATATTATCATTAGTTGATGTTCATTAATTAATTATCATTAGGTAATTATTGCATTTATCGTGCAGGTCGTCGCGCGCTCGGTCCCGCTTCAGACAGCGATAACGTGGAGTTCTTTCTTCTGGGTCTGCACGCGCTGTTCAAAGGGGATTTCAGGTAATAATTTCCTTAATAGGTACTTATGTATCATTAATAATTTCCCTAATAGTCTTTTATGTATCATTAATAATTTCCTTAATAGTTTCTTATGTATCATTAATAATTTCCTTAATAGGTACTTATGCATCATTAATAATTTATTTAATAGTTCCTTATGCATCATCAATACTTTCCTCAATAGGTAAGCACTTATCTATCAATAATAATTTCCTTAATAGGGTACCTAATGGTGTATAATTTAATATCAAATTCACCAAGAATTTCAAAGCATAGCAAATGCCAAGGAAATCCATCATATCTTCATTGTAAAAGGATAATGATAAAGCTGGTTTTCAAAATTCTTTCGATGAAGATATGATGAAATAACGTGGCATTTGCTTGAAATTCTTAGTTTCCTCCTGAAGATTTGAAAAAATGGTGTAACATGTATGGGAATCTACGGGAAAGTTATTGTTCTTCTTTGCTAGCAATTAATCGTATAAAATTTTGAATATATTTTAAATGTTTAGCAAGGCTACATCAAGTGGCTGATATTATCGGTTATTCTACTTCTCAATTATTTCAAGTATCTGAACTCTGAGCCTAGTAGGGTCTTACATAAATATTAATCACGTATTTAAGTTCTGAGAAAGTATTTATCAAAGTTCAACGACTTCAACAATTGGCAGAATAACATAGGATCTTACACAACTATCAAACGCGTTATTATTATCATTTAGTGTTCGAGATATGTAGCGAGATATACCAGTCATCTTAACTCCGAGCCTATTATGGTCTGGCATAAATATTCTTAATATTATTTACTGTATAAGATATGTAGCCAGATATACCAGCCATCTGAACTCCGAGCCTATTATGGTCTGACATAAATATTCTTAATATTATTTACGGTATAAGATATGTAGCGAGATATACCAGCCATCTGAACTCCGACCCTATTATGGTTTGGCATAAATATTCTTAATATTATTTACTGTATAAATGTGGGCAGAATAACTTGCGAGCGAGACGAGTGGGTGTTCCGGGACATGGAGCTGCTGCGGAGGATCGTGGCTCCAGCTGTGAGGATGAGCCTCAAGCTACATCTGGTCAGCGTTTTGTAACGTTTATTTTAGCCCAAATGATTTTTGATGAATTTAATTTAAGGCATCTGACTTAGGAATCACGTTTTTCCAGCGTCACTTGCTCAGCGGGCTGTTATTTCTCTTCCATTTTATTTAAATCAAATCCATACTAGGAACTTTCAACTAAGAAAAAAATTTTTTTAAGAGTGAGTGTGTTATTTCTTAACGTACCGTCAGGAGAGCTGTTGAGGGCTAGGTGTGGTATTAGAGGGCTGTGAGGTGGGCTATAGCCGTGTAATTTCTTGTAATAATAACAATAATAACTATACCTCAGGACCACTTCCTAGTACCTGACGAGTACGAGCAGCACGAGCCGCTGTACACCGCCATGCTGGAGCAACACCGCCAGCAGCTCATCATCGCTGACGAGTCTGACCCGTCGTGGCGCGCTGCCGTACTAGCCTCCAAGCCTTCTCTCCTAGCACTCAGGTATCCTTAGGTCCTACCCTTTATTTTATTATTCGTTCGTCCTCAGGTGGCTTTTATCCCTACCCTCTAATTTATCCCTCGCCCTCGGGTTGCCCTTATCCCTACCCTCTAATTTATCCCTCGTCCTCGGGTTGCCCTTATTCCTACCCTCTAATTTATCCCTCGTCCTCGAGTTGCCCTTATTCCCACCCTCTAATTTATTCCTCACCCTCTGGTTGCCCTTATCCCTACCCTCTAATTTATCCCTCGTCCTCGGGTTGCCCTTATTCCTACCCTCTAATTTATCCCTCGTCCTCGAGTTGCCCTTATTCCCACCCTCTAATTTATTCCTCACCCTCTGGTCTTCCTCGATCTATCCTAAGATTACTTACTCTCTGCATTGTTGCATGTCCTTGAATATACCTTGATTTTTGGTCTGCAAAAATTTTCTGCTAAAACTCAACTTAATAAACTTAATATAAAACAGGTTGTTTTTCTGATTGAAATTTGTTTCCAAGTATATTTTAATGAAATTATATCTTTCCATTTAAATTTAAAGCATTCAAATTCTATTTCCATTGATCTGAATGTTATATCCATTTTCAATTTCAAGATTAGAACCAAGTTTAAAGTGCTGAAATTTTATGGGGAGCTTCAGTAAAATGCTAAAGTATGCCTGAACCTTGGCTGAATTTGTTTTACTTTATTTATTTGATTAATAAGGCAGGTGAGAATTGATGTCTGAATGAATAGCGCAGTAAAAGACTGACTGATACCTCGTGGTGGGAGAATCTCAAAAATGGACTAATGGACTAATGGTCGTACTTGAATATTTGCAATTCACCAAAAATATGTTGTGCTGAAAAAATAGGCATTGGATGTCACAGCAATCTATTACATAGATCGCTTATAAGCTTTTGTTGCTTGCAGCTTTATTCTTCTATAATGTTTGTTGAATTTTGCAGGCATGTGTTGGATGATGGAGACGACAAGTACAAAATTATCATGCTAAACAAACGGCATCTACTCTTCAGGGTCATCAAAGTTAACCGGTTTGTTTATTGTTTGTACCATTATCTGTGTAATTCAATGCTGTCTCTTTGGTGAGTTAAGTGATTTTTCCTTCTTGAATAAACTCAGGACTAAATTTATCTCAATCTAGAGTGTACGTTGTTGGCAGCGAATGAACTCGAAGGAGCATTTGTTATTCTGTACAATACATGTCAATAAAATTCCTATATATCATACATATGTGGGAATGGGGCTATACTACAATATGATGTTGATAGATCTTGTGATTTTACTGCAATACTTTGGGGATCATCACGTAGGAAGATATAGTTGTTTAATATTTTTTGGGGGCCTTCAATGTGACCGTGTGCACGGCATCACGTAGTAATATTTCTTTATGTACAGGGAATGCGTGCGGGGACTGTGGGCAGGGCAGCAGCAAGAGCTCGTCTACTTCAGGAACCGCAACCCTGAGCGCGGCAGCATCCAGAACGCCAAGCAGGCGCTAAGAAACATGATCAACAGCTCGTGTGACCAGCCAATTGGTGGGTTGTGCGCTCTATTACTCAGTTATTACCTCCTATATGTGCCACTACACACGCCGTTATTGCCTCCTATTTGTGCCACTACACACGTCGTTATTACCTCCTATTTGTGCCACTACACACGCTGTTATCACCTCCTATTTGTACCACTACACACGCCGTTATCACCTCCTATTTGTGCCACTACACACGCCGTTATTACCTCCTATTTGTGCCACTACACACGCCGTTATCACCTCCTATTTGTACCACTACACACGCCGTTATCACCTCATATTTGTACCATTATACACGCCGTTATCACCTCCTATTTGTGCCACTACACACACCGTTATCTTTTCCTATTTGTGCTACAACACAAGCCGTTATCACCTCCTCTTTGTGCCACTACACACGCCGTCATCACCTTTTATTTGTGCCACTACACACGCCGTTATCACCTACTTGTGCCGCTACACATGCCATTATCTTCTCCGTAGTATTTTCTATCATCGCGCTTTGATCTCCCACGAGGGAGCTCCCACCCCCTGTAGTTATCCCACGGTTAATTTAGACTCACTTCTCAGGTTACCCAATCTACGTGTCTCCGCTGACGACGTCGTTCGCCCACACACACCCTGACCACGCGCGCACCCTGGGTGGACCCATCACCCCCGCGCTGCTCTGGCGACAGACACGCAAACTCGGATACTGGTAGATACTTAGCAACTACCGTAGATGTCTGTTGTATGACATGGGCAAATTGAATGGCTTGTACCTTGGACGTCTATTAAGTTATATGTCTTTGCTTCTCTTTGTCCTTGGCTGTGAATTTATTTTCTTAGCTACCGTCAATGACAAGCGAGTCGCCAGTAAGCAGAGACTGCACTTAACTCGCCACTTCTAAATAAAACCCGTTAAATACTGACCAGAAATACGATTTGTAGATTGCAATTACTACTTAATAATTACGAAGCTTCTTGAATATCCTTAGAAGAAAGTTCTTTATCAGTTTTGTTTGTTGAAAAGAACATTTGTAACTATGGCAGGCGACATAAGTGTTGTGGCAACTGAAGTGGCATTAATGTTAGCTAATAACGTTAATTCAAAGCTCTTGGTTTGATCTTAAGAGTAGATAGCTGAAAAAGTAAAAAAAATCATGGTATGTCGTAATTATTTAGCCATGTCATACTAGTGCGTTATTACTATTTTCAAGAATTTATCCTAATTATTCTGGAATAGTATTGTTGCTATTGATTGCATGATTTATTTTCAGCATTAAGGAGCGCTGTGGCGAGAACTGCCGCAACAGCAGCAACGTCTACACGTCCAGGGAGCAGGTCTCATCCCCAGCGGCGCCTCCTCGCAGGGCTGCCTCAGGTTAACAACTTCGTTCTCCGATGAAAACGAAACGTATTTATGTCGTGCATTAAACCCTAACTTATATCTCATATGAAATGTTGAAGCCAGAAATGTTTACTCAAAATGTAAATTAAATGTGTTTATGTCATGCATGAAACATCAACTCATTTCTCTTATACAATTTGATGTATAGAAGACAGGAATGTTCACTTGAAATTATTTTCCCGATGATCCTCATAGAACCCAAATAAAACGCACATATTTCCTGTTATTTTGTAATCCGTCATTTATCTCAAATCAGATTCAACTTCGAAAATTTTCGTGTTTTCAATCTTAAAATTGATTAAAAACTACGACTACTTCCTTGCTTCTAGCATTGTTCTTTTAAACATCAGGGTTGACCCCGAGTCCACCACACCAAACATCGAGCAACTCCTGCCGTCAAGACTCGGGCAGCGCTGGGGGCATGTCGCTGCTACACGGTTCGATGGTCGGCATGCGCGGTGACTCCTTGTCCCGTGGATCCGTCTTGTCGTCATCTTCATCAGGCCTGTCATCCTTCCCCGGTGTGACGAAACACCAGAATGCCAACGCCCTTGCGTGCTTGGCAGGACTGCTGAGCGGGGAAGGTTCTCCTCTAGACGCGTCTGGGCCTTGCTATCTCTCGGCCGTGCAGTCGGCCGTAGCCGTACGCGAGAGTGCTGCCTCTGCTGAGAGCAGGTTGTCACCGCGGGACTGTGACGTGTCTGACGCTGATTCTTCCTTCGGTGCCGTTGCCTTGCACGGGCCCCTAGTGAGTTGGTTTAAATGTGATAATTTTTCTGGTTAGTTCCGTTTGCTTCTCTTTAGTTCTACACGAAAAAATCGGGTAATACATGCTCTTATTTGAGGTATGACGACGAAGATTTCTATTTCACTCAAACTTCTTTGTATGCTGCTTATTATATTTTAAGTTTTTTTATTTTTTTTTATTGATTGCTTAAGTATCTTGGAGAATTTCATATAAAACATTATCCCATTTTTGTCTCAGTTGTGCGGTCAGCACCCATCGAGTAGTCGCCACCGAGACTCGAGTTTGACCACCCGACGCGAAAGTCGTTCGTGGCTGCGGTCACCTCGTGGCAACAGCCTATCGTACCTCGAGCCCCCACCGCTGGTCCTAGAATATCGTGACATGGAACCCAGCAGTAGAGAGATCCGCGCGGCACGAAGAGCCCAGAGATTAGTCGGTCACGAGAGAAGTGCAAGCGGTGATGCTTTCTTGCCGTGTAGGAACCAAAGTGGAGAGGACCTCAGCCCCGAGCCCAACCAGAGTAAGAATGCTTCAGATGAAATGAAAACTTCTGACAGCGATATCGCTTCTCCATTGAGTTCACAGAGCGCTCGTAATCGAGATGATGAATCACCGAAGCGCTACAAATTTGGTGACGACGATGCCGAGTGGATTTTAGACTACTCCAGGATGGAACCTTTCCCTTTTGCTGTCCGTTCTCCGTACTGGACCGCGCAGTACAGATTCGTTAGAGCTCCCCCTCGCCCCATTCCTCTTGCCCCAAATTTGTCACCTCCACGCCGCACTCGAAAGTCGCGATCGCATGGCGGTCGTAGCGCTCGTCGAGCGGTTGAATTTTCCGAGACAGCGAGTTCTGCTTGTCCGTCCACCTCGGATGCGACATCCTCCAACCTCGACCCTTCCGACGACTCCATACCCCGTATATCATACGATCCTGACGAGTCTGCAGCGAACACTAGCAACGATACCATAACTGAATATTCTGATACCAGGGAACCCGCTGCAGACGAGTGTCCTGGAGAGTCTTCTCGCCTAAATCCTGACCCTGAATCAAATGAGACCGCACACGGACGAGTGACGGTTTGTGAACTTATCCTCTTTGATTTGTAGTATTATCTCTAATAGTTATGAGCTCAGAATTTAGTTTTTAGAGGATAAGTGTTTCTACTTTCAAAGTCTTTGCAATTATGATATGATCTAATCAATTCCTGTTTCTGCAAATATTTCACCCCTACTTCCATCGTTCTAAGGAATTCATTTGTCTCCCTCAGATCGCAGATGCCAACCAGATCTATGACACCTTGAACTTGGGACGCCGCATTGACGTTCTTTGGCCCAGCAATGAAATGCGTAATCTTGGCGGACGGAATTGCTGGGGTTCCTTTGTCCCTGTCGAGGGAATGTCGGGTCCTGTCGTGCATCGCTGGACTCCCCACCACCCTGATCCTCATTTTCGTAGTCACGTAGATCGCACTATCCTTTTGGTGCGCATCAATGATTTCTATGTGCCTGTTGCCGAAGACGGAGTTAATACTGTCTGATGTTAGACTGCGCTAGGTTCCGATTTTTAATGCGTATACGGTTCTGTTTCTTTAATCTTAGCGGGTGCTTATGGCGTCGATATCTACCTTTGCTGTAGACAAATTTGATCTGACGGCAGAACGATAACAGAGGTACTTAATTAATTATATCGGTATATTTCTGTGAAATATTTCGCCTGACTTTATCCTTGCTGTGAGCTTACGGCCCGGTTTGAGGGACGAAGTTTTTCTAAGCCCTAGACTTGCTATTCCTTATTATAAATACTTGCTTCTTTTATATACATTGTGTCATGTCATCCCCGAAACTATAAAATGTAAGAATTACATTATTTAATACTAAAGTTAACAAATGATTCAAATGTTCTATGAATACATAGGAATCTAATATCTGTTTTTAAGTGAGTTTTTTTCAAAGTAAGCATTGCTTTTATATAAGTTTAGCATGTCATTATTTTTGTTAAGTGATGGTTGATATAATTTGATATAACTACCTCCTTCACAGGATTGTGAATTGAAGTTTTCACAGCATCATTTTCTTATTTTTGTTGTCCGTTAAGTTTTGCCCCGAGTAAATCTTCTCATTAATTAGTCTGAGGTGAGGAAGCGTCAAGAAAATTCATTCAATTTAAATATAATTTTCGTTGAGGAAGAATTGATCTCGACCGAAGCATTTGTATCTTAACCAACACGAAGAAAAGCTTCTCGTTTTTAATCTAAAATCACGTTTACACTCAGAGGAATGAGTGACATATTGTCTCTTTAGTGATTCCCTTTTTTGCGCTTTTTTAGGTCATCTTGACCCAGTTTGCCCCAGCAAAATGACGTGTCAATGCAACGTCCACTCTGCTAGTGCTGTGGGCTGGAAAGTGTGTCACTATTTGGATAATATGATCCATTTTTTTGAGTGTAGGAACTCGAAGTTAGACAAAGTGTGAGTTCATGCAAGCTACGAGAATTTTTATATGAAAGTTTCTACGTTAATTGAAGTTAAGTTGTAAGAAATTTGATGAATGTTTGCCTGTTATATGGCAAATAAATGTTTGCCTCTTATATGGCAAATAAATGTTTGCCTGTTATTGTCAACTATCGAACTATTTACTACGTTTCTAGTCTAACGTGAAATGAACAACTATCGAACTATTTACTACGTTTCTAGTCTAACGTGAAATGAACGTCGTCTCTCTGCTCATTACTGTCATTCTACTTACTTGCTTTCCTTTAATATATTCATATTTTTGGTATACAAATATTTATGGTTGTTGACATGGGTTCTTAACGTTGTAAGATATTCTTTTGTATTGAGTATTACAATAAGTACGTCCAGATTAGCGCTATACATTTTGTATGATATAAGCAATTATTATCATGAATACTGTCACATTGTTGTTATGTACGATGTTATGAAGCAAACCAGGAGAACAATGAACATATTATTGGACACCCTACACTCAGAGAAGTGAGTGAAACATTGTCTAAATAACGATGTACTTCTTGCATTTGTGTGGGACATCCTTACCCAGTTTCTGCCCGGCAAAAAAAAAGAGTATTTGTGATACGTCCTCTCACTGCCAGCGGCCCAGCGGTGCTGGTTAGGAAATGAATCACTATTTGGACAATATGAATCATTCATTTTTATGAGTTGTAATCTGTGCTCAAGTTTGCGTGTTCATTATGGATTCTTCGACGACAATATCTCTAGTATCATTGATCGTGTATTTCATTTCAAAATGAATTTTTTATTTTCAGAAACACATTCAATGCGTTGAGGAACTACCCGTCCAATTGAAGGTCGTGTTCTCGTTCTGGTTGTATTGAATGTTCCCTTATAATGTGTTCTTTAGAACTTTATTTTCTATTGATGATGTCACAAATAGCGTCGCAGCTAGTTTTTTTTCTTGAGTTTTTAAGGGGATTCCAGTGTTACATTAAGGCTTCATTATCTTTTGGTGTTTGAATTCTTATCTCTGGATAGAAAATATTTATTATCCAAGCAAACTCCCGTTATTATTGACTTCGGTCATCGAAAAACACCGAATCTGTTTACTGAATATGAAATTCTGCAGCTATCGGCGCAAACTTCACTATAACAATATCCAGTTTCAGCGAATTACAGATTCTCTTTTGACTTAACAACATCAAAAGTTAAGTGTTTGACTTTTTTTTAATTTAACAGAGTATCAAAACGGCAGTACCTTTGACCATTATTTATTCCATATTTTTTATTGAAATCTATTTCTTTATCTTTGAGTCAAGTTATAATCTGCTAAATTTTTCACCGAGAAAGGCTGAATTGTGGTCCGATCATAGTTATTATTATTATTTTTTTATGCGAAAAAATTCAAATTCTGTACGAAAATCGGAAGTCAACCCCTTATTAATAATGTAGCTTAATTGAAAGTCAAAGTATGATTTTTTATACACTCTATTAAAGTTGAGCAATCGACGGTAAATTGTGACTTTTTCCTTATATTTTCTGCATACAAATTAATTAATTTTAATTTTCTTATTGTCGTAAACTTGGAGCAAGATAGATACAAATCCTATCTCTGTAATTCGGAACTATATTAAATTTATCAAGTTTCCTAAACTCTCTCTTATTACATGCAATATTTCGCCATCTTGATAATATTCTAGTAACCTGTCTCTTCGAATGTAGTTTCCATCGTTTTGCGTCTTGCAATTTATATATCAATGCTCTTGGGATTATTTTTGGAACTTTTTGCATGTGGAAAAATTTGTCACGTCCTCCGAATCTAAATTTTGTTCTTCACAAGTTCATATTTATCAACATATTACTATAAAAGTTTTCTGCCGAATCTCCTTCGTTGAAAATAAACATTAACAAATGTTCTGCTGAACATTTTCACTAGCTAAGTGTGGACTGGAAGACACTTCGTAAATGCTATCATTTTTGTTTTGAATTTCATTTTCAGCTTCCAAGTTGAAAACTAAAGACTTTGTACAGTGTACTTATTGTATATCAATTCTAGAGACGACCATATTTTTCGAAGCTCGCTGTCCCTTTCTTGTATGGGTTGCCTTCTATGGCTCTACGGTTAAGTGCCTCGCATCGAAATCTCAATGTATGGCAAGAAATTCAATTTTTATTCTGACTTTTACTTAATCCTTTTAGGATCGTAATTCATCATTCATTCATCTTCAACTTTGAGATCGACTGCTGCGGGAAGATGATAAAACTTTATATTTAAATAATTTTTTGATAATTAATTAAAATTACTTTAAATTACCACTTTGCGCTAGCCACGAGCCATAATTTAAATTCTGAATCGTTACCTTCTGAATTTAAAATAATTTAGGGTGATTGAAAATCAGCTTAAAAATCTAATTCTGTATTTGTCAATTTGTCATGAGCTTTGAACAATGTTATTAGAATTATTGCCAGTAAACAATCATCTATGTAATTATCCACTGTGTCCAGTAGCTGCTGTCCTTACTGTCCGCCCAGCCAACGCTGGATCCAGCGATCGCACGCGGCCTGGACAATTAAAAAATGAATAAAAAAATAAATACCAAACAATATAAACCAGTTCCTTATAGCCATGACCTCTGCCATAGAGTAGAACATCATCACTGCTTTCTCAAGCTGCTCTCTGTTAATTAATTAATACACTATGTTGGAGCGAAATAGCAAAGTAAATGACTGGCACTGATTTGCTTTAAATAATGGAGTTCCTTTAATTTTTCGCAATATCAGTGTTCAGTAATGCACCCTAAATATGAATTTTTCGTGCGACTATTTACCTTGAGCTGCGCCAAGAAGGAAAGCAGAAAGCAATGTCCAAGAGCAATGCACGTTATGAAGATAGCGATGACGTCATTATCCTGTTGAAAATTATTATTAATGGTTTGTAATTATGAAATCATTGTAAAATCATATGATATAATCAGGGAAGTAAAAAAATGTATCTACTTTCAGTTTTCCATTGTGATTTTTTATCAAAAAAGTATTCTTTCAGACGATGGAAAGATATGTTCTGCTATTTATTAAAAATGGCTTTGAAGTATTCACTGCACTGTCTTTTCAACCATTGTGATATCTAAAAAAATTATGGTTTCAGACGACGGAAGGGTGATTTCTTTGACTGCTTTTTATTAGAAATTGTTAAATCATACACTGCCCTGCCGTTTTAAAACATCTTTTTCCTGTTCTATGTGAGATGAATTTTTTTACGGATAAAAACTTGCATGCGTTCACCTGGGGAAGTGGATATGGCAACCGGACGAGTAGCAGCGCTAGGGTCGCCACCTCAAAGCGTTCCCCGTAAGTCGCCACCGGGACAGACAGGCTCACTACGGGACAGACTCCCAGCCACATTCTGTTGATGAGTCAAAACAGTCAGAATATTTATCAGAAAGACTGGCCATCCAACAGATTTGGTAAGTTCATCTTAATCCTCTCGATTCTAATGAGCCTGGTTTGCTCATTGAAATATTGGAATTCTAATGCCTTGTAACGGACAAACCCCCAGCCAAATTCTGATAATGAGCCAACAGACAGAATGTGTCTGTCAGATAGTCTGACAGTCAGTAAGTTTCTCATACTCTTAGGTCGCATGAGACTGTTTTTTTAGTCAAAATTGTCTCACGACAGAACTAACTTCACGCCACATTCTGTTAATGAGTCAACAGACAGAAGTGTAGCATCAAACTTTCAAGTCAAGAAAGCTGTTTTCGCTCCCTGAAAATATTTCAACATTCACGAAGAGACATACTCTACCAGTCTCATTCAGTCGGCGCGTTGATGAGAAATTGGCCAGTTCATCACGATACTTTGTTGTCAAAAGGGCCAGGATTGCTGCTTGACGTTTTATCCTTACTCACGACAGCGTTCCAACCATGGTTCCAAGTGCCTGACCGTGATGATATCGAAATATCCTACCCGTGAGGTGACCGCGTCATATTGGGAATAGCGAAGCTTAAGTGGCGGCCGCATGAATTTTATTTTTAAAAACGGTAGTTTTACTACAATGAAGAGTTATTTGCTACTTTTTGTAGTTACTTCATCGATGCATATCAATACATATAAATCAGATCTGTTATATAAACCTTGATTTATATCACTATACTTCAAGTAAGATTAATACTTTCGACTCTACTAATTTAATGCATAGCAGTTGTCGCTCATTTAGGACCTCAAAATGCGAAAACAAAGCGAGAAAATCATTTATTTAAATAAAAAACGACTGACGTCGATGAATATCACACACTTAAGTTGGTGCGCAACTTTTCATCGAGTAGTGCCGAGTTTTAATCTTCACATAGGAACTATGAAATTCCTACACATAAAAATTGAGTTACTTGTAGAGGAAGGAATAGGGTTGAATGACCGACTTTTATCTCGTGTTGCTGCTCTTCATGGCTAGCTATTTCAAACCATCGATGTGAATAATATATTTTTGCAATGAATACAATAGTGATTTCAATTATTCTCACCCGCAGAAGAGCAGGAGTGTGATCAACAGCGCCAAAGCTCGAGCACGACGGTCGTGCGACAGATAAGCTCTCCCTCCATTGCTCTGCAAGGTGGCATAGAGTTAAAACTAGGTTTACTTCTTAGTTAAATACATTTTAAATATTCATTGATTGAATGCTCAGAGAATACTATTATAACTCTTGGGATATTTTTGGCAAACGGTTTTTATTTTATAAATCTGATTTAATAAAGTAAAGAACATTTGTCACAGCTTTATTCCTTTAAGTGTGCACTCATGGGAGCTTGAACCATGTGCTTGGATCATGCCAAATGATCCTACCTGCGCAGGTGTGGACGGGAAACATAGTCGCGTCAGCCTGATGAGCGTATCAGTGATACGCCTGCTCCACGCAACGATCATGCAATAGTAAAGCAGAACACCCACTAGTGAGTAGGCAACCACGAACGCTCGTATGCTGCCTCCAGACCAAGCCCCGCCCCCTGTCGTGATTAGTTCATAAGTATACACTCAGAGAAATGGATAAGAATATGTCCGAATAGCGATGCACTTTTTGCCTTATGTGGAAAATCCTGATCCGGGGTATTGTCCGGCAAAAGGGCGTATGAATGATACGTGTAGTGACACAATTCGGAAGACACAATTCGGACACTCTTTCAAACCATTTACAATAATAAATATTTGACCAAACTATCTTCACTACCTCCACACTATCCAACTGAAACTCACATCCATATCCATCGAAACCGTCATTTAAATAGTCCGTCTTTATAAATCAGAACCTTTTACAATCAGTTTACCAATGAATATAATTCTTCAAACAGATTGGTAAAATGATTAGAAGATAGACTTTTTCTGCCTATACACAAACTGAAATTATTTAAATGAAATTTTTCACAAACGTCAACAGATTATTGGATGGCTCACCAATGGTCGAAATTAAAGAGAAGGCGTAGAGGCAAGCCGATGGGTAGTCCCAGGATATACCTCCTGGCAGGCTGTTGCTCAAGGAC